GATTGCTGAATACGAAAGAAATCTAGCACAACGCCACACAGCAACGGATGAGTTAGCTGCTGAAGAAAAGAAAATGTTTCTGGACTATGTTCAGCTTATCACTAGCAACCGTGTACAGCGGAGGCGTTCTTCTTTAGCAAAGTCGCTGAGCCAGCTTAAGCCGCAAGCCACGTTTCCAAACAGGCCAGACAGGTATGTACACAACTTTTCTAGTTTGAACTTGGACACAACTTTGATTGAAGTTCTATCGCTTGGCTTAAAGTTTTGCGCTCCTAGACGCAGGGATAACCGGCTTGAGTGTGAATTACAATTTGAAAGCTTATATGATCAGACGAAAGGATTAGTCGCTAAATCGAATACGGATCTTGAACGTTTCAAGTGCTATTTAGTGAATTGTTGCTACCAGTATCGTAAACTCCGCGTCCGTAATCATGGCCCACTAACAAGAAGGCATCTAGATGCGCTGAAAGAACTAAAGCGCAATGAAGAAATCGTTCTATGCAAGCCGGATAAAGGTGCAGGAATCGTGTTACTCGATCGAAAAGATTACATAGATAAACTAACAGCAATACTGAGCGATGAGACAAAGTTTGCGTGTATTGAAGGAGAAAGGGACCGAACTGAACAAGTTGAAACACAGATAACTAAGAGCTTGCAAGAACTCCGGACCAAGGGGTACATTTCGGATGCTCTGTATGACAGCCTTAAACCGAGTGGCACAAGCGTCCCAAGACTTTACGGGTTACCAAAAATCCACAAACCTAACATCCCACTTCGTCCTATTTTATCAATGGTTAACTCGCCGTACCATGCCGTTGCTCAGTGGCTTGTAGAACTTCTTGAACCTGTGCGACAACAGCTCGCTATCTACAGTCTTCGTGACAGCTTCCATTTCGTCGAAAGCATCAAAGAGGATAACATCAATGAGAAATTAATGTTATCTTTCGATGTCGTCTCACTTTTTACAAACGTCCCATTGCTTGAGACGATCGATTACATTTGCGACTATATAGCCGAATCAGGAATAAAAATGTGTATACCTACGCGTGAGCTTAAGAGCCTACTGTTACGCTGCACCTGGAATGTTCAGTTTCTATTTAACGGGAAATACTACCGGCAGAAGGACGGCGTGGCCATGGGATCCCCTCTCGGACCGCTATTAGCGGATATCTTCATGGCAAAGCTGGAGAGGAACGAAATGCGGGCGGCGATAGACCTTTTTGACCGCTATCATCGATACATGGATGATATATTTGTTGTGGTGGATAAACATGTTAATCTGGAGGAAATTCTTGACCACTTCAACCGGGTGCATGCAGCAGTGCAGTTTACTTACGAAAAGGAAAGCGATAACCGGCTACCATATCTCGATGTCCTGTTAACAAGGAGACCGGATGGATCCATCCAACGTCAGGTCTACAGAAAACCAACGTGGATAGGTCAGTACACGAATTTTTACAGTTTCGTCCCCATGAGATACAAACGCAACTTGGTTCACTGTCTTACGTCAAGAGCACGTCGAATCTGTACGGAAGACACCCTAGACGCGGAGTTAATGTTCATACAGAACACTCTACGTGAAAACGGTTATCCCGATAGATTTATCCTAAGGAACCTCCTAGAAAAACCGAAACCAGTGGCAGTGTTAACAGCGCCAAAGAAAGAGTTATTTATTCGCTTACCATTTAAAGGGGACGCGGCTACCGAGCGTCTAACCAGAAGCCTTTCGGCCGCGGTAAAGTCGACCTTTCCAGCAGCCTCGTTGAAGTGCGTGTTCTCAACGGAACCACTCATTCGTTCACAAAACAAGGACAAGCTGCCGATGCTGACCACATCAATGGTGATTTATCAATTCGTGTGCGCCTGTGGCGCGACGTATATTGGTCGAACGGCGCGGCAGTTATCGAAACGCGTGAACGAACATTGCCCTCGCTGGCTTCGTCAAGGGGGCATCGGAATCATCAGTAGCGCCATTCTGGCCCACATTGTGGACACCGGCCATGAAGTGGATTGGAAACGCGCTTTCCGAATAGTTTACAAGGTTCCACCGCACCGAACGAAAGGTTACCGCCTTCGTATGCTTGCGACAGCTGAAGCAATATGCATTCGATTGTTCCAGCCGTCCTTATGCTCACAGAAGAAGCTGGTCCAGGCTCTCCAGCTTCCCTGGCCAGCGAAGATGGAAGACGCCCAGGTCGACTGCCTTCGGTCAGACGCGGTAGCGAACATCTAGCCCTCTAAGACCTAATTCGTTTTTTCCACTCTGACATTGACCTTCACGTGATCAATTCGTTTTGAACTAACTGGGTCGATTTCTCTTTCTAGCCTCTATATGATTGTAATGGTCTGACGATGAATCATTGAAAGCATTTGCTCACCAGATGGTCTTTTGTTCTAGAGACTTAAATGGGAATTTTCAAGTTACTTAAATCATAAGTAATAACAATTCGCCCGTACGGATTCCACAAAATGCTATGTCGATTCATAGCTGCCGTAACCGGGAAGTCCTGACGCCGGAAGGCCGACCGCTGTCATCTGCATGGCAGGTGCCTGCATGGCAGTGGAGGATGCGTCGGGCTATATCGCATTTAGCTAACAATTCACGATAGTCAGATACCGTCCTCCATGGCGCAGTTGCATAAGCTGCGGGCTAGTTGGCAAGAGCCACTAGCAGTCATGGGTTCGATCCTCCACAGAGGACCGAAGGATGCGCACCACTGATGAGCCCTAATAGGGCGAAACGGCCGTCTGGTGCTTTTACGGACAGCTGGTCGACATATCTGAATTCTCTTAGGTTTCTCCATCCCTGGTTTATCGCCACCGCATTGCGACATCCAGCTATCCGGTGCCTATAAATAGTGCGGTGGCACATGGTACTGGCCATGAACCTCACTTCCCCCCCCCCTCATGTCTCCGGTTATGGTTCATCCGAATGAGGTTATCGATCACGCAACGCGGCCTGCTTGATACACTCGCCTAGCGTAATTGTCGGTCGTCTTACCTGTGCCGAGCGACGACACTTGATCGGTGCTCTATCCCCTACGCCAAGCCTAGCTGACGTGACTACAGTACTGGTTTGGTCAACGAACAAAACGCTCGAGTGTGTGCTTGGTACAGCTGTGCACCTGATATCTTGCAAGCACACTAGAATGTTCGAAATGCGAGGCCGAACTCCGAAATCCCTAGTTAAAAACTTATATGAACAGGAAACTTAATGCCTTTTCATTTTGCAAACAATACCGTAATGGTCTCAGTCATACCTCCATGGGTATTTCGAGCCCCACAACCGCTACTAATTGTTCCCCAGTTTTGGATGAGTTTTGCAGTTTAATGACCTATGGATTTCTGTGGCTCATTAGCATCGGTATCCGAACTCTCTAAGGTGAGCGACAAGGCCACAGGAACGATGTAGTCAACCGGGTGTTTGTTGCATGAGTGATGATGATGCTGAGAGTAGAATTCAGTTGGCTTACATGCAAGCACAGATAAGAGGACCAGAAAGCGCTTTCACAACCAAACGAGAAGCTACTCGTACCTAAACACCAGGAAAATACCCGCGCGGACGTCCTGCAAACTCTTTCGCAAGTGATCAACAGATATGTGTGAGCGTTTGACAGGTTCTAGGCGGAAATTCCTGGTGCATTTCACACTCTATCGCTTCCACAAAGTACTGTGGTCTAGACAATAATATTGGGGACAATTCAATGTGTCAGTCGATTATGGTATCTCGCTCAGTTTCATCAAACTTATACCTGCCTTAATCACGGCAACAATAGGCTAGTTTTTGAATGGATTAATGACCTGCGGTCAATCGTGACCAACAGACACCCACTTCAAAAATGTGCTTGCAACGTCTCAAGTTTTTGCCATCGTTGCGAGTGGCTCAGCAACACATGATGCCCATTTCAGGTGACATACTCCCGGATTCCATTCCTGACTAATCAACGGGAATCGCGTATCGCTGTTGCACTTAAATAAGGCAAAAGAACCCTCCAATTCTCATCCGGAATTGTGGTGGCTGTGTCTAACTGTGGCGGGTTCGCTAAAATCCATTCAAATCCCCCTGGCAATTTGGTGGCACCAGTGGTCACGGCGCAGTTGAGAGTACCGCAAGTAGTTGATGTCCCAACGAGGGGATTTATGCACATGAACGACAACTATGTCCTTTGCAAGGCTGTCACGTCCTCAACAGTAAAAATTGAGAAGCGATGTACAGTAATTAGTAATTTAGGTAAGCTTGGCAAGCGCTACCTCCTGGAATCAGCGTCCACAGTTTGCCATCGCAAGCCACACGACCGGCGTTTCGAATCTCTCAGGATTCGAGAGACAATTGCACTGCTGACGGGTTCTAGTGGCACGAAACGAACGTCCAGTCTTTCTTCGGTTTTTTGGTGGCTGTATAACTGAAGTTAGCCCTGACAAATCCACTCGAATCTGTCGTACAATCGCCTGATCTATTGCCTGAGATGGATTCGGGAGAGTAAAGCGATACATGCGAGCAACTGTTTGAACGCATGCTTTGGAAAGAGCAATGAATAGGAAACGCAGTCACACATTGTCCGATTCAGTGAGGGTTACGCAATTTGGGAGTGTTGTGGGATTATATGTGCAGATTCTAAGTAAAGATAGCTGTTGCCGAACTCTGGCTTAGACGGAGACAGAGATCGCGCTTATTCACATCACCTGCAAGGGCCGTTCTCGGGTAACGCTTGCGTCTAATATTATGACAATCGACAATATCGAAATAGAGAAAATCCGACGAGTCGTAGTCGGGAAAAGGTTCCCAGATGATCACAGATTTTAAGGTGTTTGATGTTGGTGCCTAACCGATGGCTGTCCAGGCAAATTAATGTTATACTAGAACTGTACTTACTTAGTGTTGCAGTATATGGTGACATATTTCACATATACGCAGCGTCCTATTTCTGCGGAGTGTTACGAGCAAGGAAGCAATAACAAGTTGCTGATGTACTTTTTTATGAAAACACTGTTGTACTAACCTGATTTCGGAGTGACCTTTGGAGGTAAAGTAGCCACTTTGACGGCCAATCCGAAAGCACCCTTGAACGTTGTACTGTCGCGGATCAGAAAACTCCCAGGAGGTTGTTGCCGAAGAATGCTGATGGCTAGATTCACGTACCGGTAGGACGATAAGGAAAAAACAATTTGAACACAATAATGAGAACACGAGTAGTGCATTGGACAGTGAACAGACATTTATCAGCTCCACGGGGTGCTGTGTTAGGGACGCTACGACCTTCCAGATCGCAATATTAGACAATGCCCGATTTCTTCCCAATTCTTAATGTTTTCTCCCGTTAGTTATCGGGATTGTTTCGTGCTCTACTGAGCCAAATGAATATCAGTATCATCCGATAAACCCTGTTCGACAAAGTTTATCAGCCAAGCGACGAGAAGAGCAAAGGGTATTCAGTTTCGAACACATACCTTGCCAGAACAGTGTAATAACTGCCGTTGGAGAGCAAGTACTGAGAAACTGGTATTTATTTCACTACAACTAAAACCGACCCATACAATACAGTGTTAGTTGGTGTGAGATTTTCCGTCGTATTGCAGTAGGACAACCACTGCTTACACCACGCGAGCTATTGACAAATGCCTTTCGTTGAAGTAAGTGCGGTGGTAAACCTATTTCCCTGAATTCAGAACCTGTGATAGACACTTGCAAATCTTCCGTGATTTGGTAGTTTCATCAATCCCAGCTGTACAAAAGGGAGCTTTGTTTCGGCATGATAAGATCAAGTGGCTTTCTATGACAGACAGTGCAAGCTGCTGTGTGATCATATGGCTCCCGGTGACCAACTCAGCCTTTCTCGTTGCAATTCACTTAATCAACTCTTATGTAGTTTGTTGCTGACCGAGTGAGCAAACCTTATTCGGATTATTTTGTTGCGATGAGTGGACGGCCCAGTCGAAAACATCTGATGATAGTCGGCAAAGGCAAATCAAACATTAAATCCTCTCTCACTGATTCATTTGGATTTTTGACATAGATAAGTTTATAAAGATTGATAGTAAGAAAGCCATCGGATCGTAGCATGAGAATACGGATGCGGATTTATATATACAAAACACCATACATCAGATACCCAAAATGCGGTGCTGCCAAGTCACTCGTATTGTTAGTTGTCATCGCCATTGATTCGTTCACTTAACGCATGTGCTTGCTCCTGATTGGCTACTCTGTCTTAAATGAATGGCTTAACTATTACAACCGCTGTTACATCTACACAGTGTCCATACATTCGTTTACTTCACTGAGTTACTCTTATGCTTTCGCGGACACAACACAGATGGCTGGTGGTTTTTTTATATGGCTGTGTAACTGTGGGGAATGCGCAATTGACTGTGACCCGGAGTGCCAGAAGGTCATGGATGATAAAGCACTATAGAAGAGTCATAGCAAAATATAACAACGCCTAATATCTATCAGGCACAGCTTAATAGATTTCTGACTTACCTGCATCTCTTGATAAATGTGGCCTATACCACAGCGGTGCGGTTTCTTGCACCAGACTCAATGGATTCGTCTCCGTCCCATCAATATAAGTTCGCTTAGTGGTTTCTGTCTTCCAACCGTTAGGGACAGTAGTAGCTTGCGCTGGTGCGAGAGTGCTGGAGCTCGTATTCGTTAAATGACTACGACTGCCGCTGAACTGGGCAGTTTGGGTGTTGTTCACCAGTGTGGGTGTGGTGTCGTACCGGGAATTTTGGAGCGATTGCATAGTGGTGGCGGGGACTGAAAATACAGCATAGACACAAAATAAATAATCCAATTCGTTCAGAATAATTTCCTTTTTGAATACCAGTCAAACAATTAAAGTTGTGCTGCTGGATTTCAAGCTGAGCAAGCGTCTGCTAGCGTCAAGTTTATCAGCAACATACAACCGTCTAACAGACACACTTGCGCTACGGTTTGATCGATAAGCAAATATGGAAAACACAGGTGCATGAATTGGCACTATGTCTCACGTGTCGGTACTAAATGAAATTGGATAATTACATTAGATCAAACCGAACGGATGCCTGCGCAGGGCGTCCCAATGTGGAGTCGAAACGATAGCATGACAGGTCACCTGAGCGGGCAAGGAGACCCTGCGATAGTCAGGGGGGCTTGCGAGTGGTCGCGAGATCAGCTGACCGGATATGGAGCAAAGTGAGGATGTACTGAGTGAACGAAATCCGGTGCGCAGCGAAAGTGTCAGGGACTCTGGTTGAACAAGAGCGAAAGATCAAATATGGTGCACCATAGACATCCAGGGTGCATCAAAAATGGTTGAGACCATGGCATAGTCGATTGAAGGATCTCGATGCCCATAAGGTAAAGCACACTTGACCTATAAGCATAATCGGTATTTAACACAGTCAGCCGAACGCTGACCTCTGACTTTTCCCGGTGGAATTGCAGCTCCAAGAAAACAAGCCTGAAGGCAGCAGCAGATCATGGGATTAGTGGATTGTTTTCCGATCATTCGACTTTACTGAACATCATCACGGTTGGACTAATGACAATTGATGGTCGGGTTTTGCAACAAATTCGACCTGAGAATGCATGGGTTGCTAAGATGCGGTGTAGTGTGTTGCCAGTGTTGTTCACTGTGGCAACGAGAAGCTCGCACAAAACCGTATCGTTAGAAGTACCCCCATATATATCCTTTCCCAACCGGATTTTTGATTGCTCGCAATTACCGACATCCATTCAATCAGTGAGTTGGCCCACATATATATCCTGCCACAAAGAGTGCCTATACGATCATTAAGAGAAAAACCATTGCTTTTCGCTAGATTCACACTTATCAAACTAAATTATACGAAACAGGCTGTTAGAATCATTGAAACACATTATTCTCCGTTAAGAAGTGACTCCAATTGGCTCTTGGTTGATTAATGTTGAGAACTTTGGTAACTGCTTCTTGTAGTTCGAAAAACCGCATGAACTCAACACGAGGTATTTGTATGACATCAAAACGGATCGACGTAATGTGCATTTCTGGGACGACGTATCCAATCGGGCGGAAGTGCTCAGATCGCATAACGAAAGCTGATCCATAACATCGCGGTGCAACATGTTTTCGTATTGGTGGCTGACGATCCGTGCTGCAGCTGTTTGACCTGTCCTAAGCCTCATAGGTGACAGTTGAACCACCGTGTATGGCAAGAACATGCTAGGAAGCCGCATCGCAGTGGAATTACCGTCGTACAAAAACAAGCGGTAGGCATTTAAACAGGATGAAATATTCAGAGGCAAGCTTCCGTATAAAACGACCTCACCTATGGTAGCGTGAGACTGATGTACTGCCAATGGCCGGGACAAATCCGTGTTAGAAGTATTCCGGTTGAGGTACCTAAATGTAGAAATAAGGGGAATGGGTTGGAAGTTGACCACATCTTTAAATATCGTAGTGTGACATCGGGAAACACGAACCATGGGGTCACATTCAACAAATGTGGTCGACTTAAGGTAGACGCAGTGACTTCCCCGAAATCCCAGAGGGCAGTTTTAATTACTACTTGGAAATTCGAATTATCATGGCCGGTGTTGGTATTTCTGCATTAGTACGAGGTGTTACGAATTGGTACAACCTCTACGGAAGCAAAGTGTTGACTCTTGATGATATTGAAAACATAATCTGTTCAGTTGTCCTCCGTGTCGCAGTTATCACTTAAATGAGCCTCTGAGATCAAGAGGAAATTTTGTTCCCAATGCGCAATTGAAGCATCCGTTACTGTGGTTATAGTGAGACTGAGTCCCTATGAAAGAATGCAAACCATCTTCGGGATCCTGAACAACGTTAGGATAAATGTGAAGCAGTATATTCGGTTCTGTAGTAAAATGATGTTGGTCACCAGCTAGACAACAATGCGCGGTTCTTCATTGTTATCATCATAGCTACACTCGAGCCAACAACCGCAGTGCGACCTACTGAAATCTGGGGGAATCGGCTTGTTATTCCACTGATTGCAAAATAATGTTTGGTACGAGATGACCTAGTTTTCCTTCTAAGTGAAGGCATCATTTGTGAAGGCGAGGAAACAGACATGTTGGATCCCTTGTTGCGTCAGGGTTGCATCGGTCAATATTCCATTTGTGTTAATGGTAATATTGACTCAGAAACTGACAGGTGTCCGTTTGCATCCCAAGGGGTTCTACGAAGTGCACTTGACTAGTAAGCCACTGTGTAACGCATATGCAGAGGCTTTGTGACGAGAGCTGCTCGAAACATGCGTCATCTGAACTTTGTGCTATGTCTTTGTTACTATTCGACGCCGGTTTAACAAGTGGCCATGAGTTTTCTATCAACATAATGTGATGCGCATACATAATGATGTTCCATAGCGTTCACTACAAACTGAAGCGTACGTTGCACGTGGATTTAGCGTGCACAGTTCGCTAACTTGGGCGTTTAGTAACCTAGTCTGACTATAAGTTGTTCCATACTCAATCGCATTACATTGCGGTAACTTAAACCAACTTGGACTCCAGCTCAAGGTTGATGATGGTATTATCCAAATGAGACTCAGTGCTGTTCTTTTAGGGCATTGTTTGGGAATCAGGCCAATCCGCATTAATTAGACCGCCATGACACTGTTAGGTATGTCAACTGGTCTTCGTATTCAGATTTGCGCTACGAATTGAACTGCACTTCAGAATGGTGAGCGGAGTCCATGTCCGGGTGTATCTACTGCTGTGGCTGCTTGTGTGGAAGCATGATGACCGGTCCCAGGTGCCACACCGCTCACAACTATGTCCACAACACTACACTGATTGTGATCCGGATGCGAGCCACAGCTATGTCCGCAGTTCTACTACGCTCCTGCAACACACATTTCACAGATCTGAAATATGGGGAAACCTGTGGACCAGACAAAGTGCACCGTGCCGAAGTCTAGCAGTCACCCGTGCGTTAACCACAATGTAACCCCCCTGATAGAGTGGCAATTCTATTGTGGTGATAATTGAGGTGACAGTATCCATTGCCAAGCGCCTTGTGTGTGGCATTCGCCAGTACAGTGGCGTCCCAGAGAAACCAGTAATGAGCCCCAAATCGCCGTGCCACTAGTTGCCAAAGCGGTTGGGTGACGTGGCGATGAAGCAGTCAATAGGCAAGGCCTACGACAAGCGGGATTGTCCAAATTGGCCCTTGTTCGGCTGAAGATGCCAAATGAAACGAAGCCAGTTGTAGAGTGCAGTGTTCGGGGAGAGTAATAAGAAACATCTAACTAATACAGCACAGATGCCAATGTTGGTCTTGATTACTCTCGCAGGTGAAACTCGCCCCAATTGGCACAGAGCATGATCCAATATTTGACCCCACGGATGAACGATCGGGACTGAAGTGGGAAAAGGCTAATCAGATATACTTCTAAAGTGCTCATCCTCGGATGCAGTTCAAGTTCTCAATCGGTTTGGCAGAAATTCACTTTAAAAGGAATCACGATCCAAACCGGGACTGCTTGAAACAATCCTACACATCACGTCTATTCTCCGAATGCAAGGGACACACAGAAACGAATGCAATTTGCTGGTATTTGTGCCGTGGAGTGGTGCGGTTTAACAGAGGCTTTGAAGTACCTGAGTGCCACCAGAAGCCAAACTATGAGGGTTTTCCCTATATCTAACCGAGACCAGGATAAAACTCAGTTAACTCCGTATTAGAGTGCAAACATATCCGATTTTTCTATCCAGCGCGTATATACGTTTGCCTTAAAATAATTGTTGTTCTGCTGCCCTCGGAGTGACTTACCCCATTCTCGTTCTTCGGAGATTCCTTTGCGGTACCATGCGACTTACTGGCGTGCAGTAACATGTGTGCAATCGACGGTACCGCAGAGAAGCTTCGCAGTGATATGCTGCTCATGCGAAGGTGTGAAGCAACAGTTCAACAACTTGCGCTGTTGATTTATTGCATCTGAAGTATCCGAGTCCATTAAACGCTGTCAAAATGTGAGCGCCTTCAACATGCCAGCTTCAGCCATTATTGCTCTAGCAACGGGAAAATGCCACGTTGACAGCTCACAATACGCACTTCTGAGACTAAGGCAAGTCTCCGAAGCATTCCTGTCCAATACTCTTTTGGTTTACTAACGAACCGCTGACCGCAAATTTCCTTTGCTGCAAATCGATGCTTTCACTGGATAATAACTTCCGCTCAGTAGCGCTAAGTACAGATTTCGTTGTTTTATGGAAAAAAATTATGCGTACTCTCCGCCCACCCACGATTAGTACCAATCCTGCCTCGCCAACTACCCGTATAAGTCTGGGTAGCTCCTTATTCCTCAATGATGTGGCTTCAGTTCACCAGCAAGATTCGGACTAAGACATTTTTCAATCACTGAAGCATGGTTCATCTACGCCCTACTTGGTCCTCACTCCATTAGTGTATAGCTCCTACGAAAACGGCGACCTCCGCAGCACGCATTCTATAGATTTCCTATTTGTGAACAGACACAGGAATGAACAAGTCTAATATCCAAACAGTGAGTGAGTTTTATAAAAACCGAAATGATCGGTATCAACAAAACACTCCCAATTCATCTGTCCTACCTGTAAATGTTACAGTAGTTATTTTCTCGCATGGTGACATAATGCCTACTACATTAAACACTCAAATAATCAACCTTTGCACCTCGCCATGCGCTGCTATCAGCGGGTGAAATCCATGCGGTAGATAGTTATAGTAATAAAAATTGGCAATTGCTTGTCCGAAAATAACCAATCACTTGCGGGCAAATCCCGCTTTTGTTTACTTTACATCCATGACCTATTCGGTCATATAAAACCTGGAAAGCCATTCCACTTCGCTGAGGGTACTAAAAACAGGTATTGTTTAAAACCCAGACACGGCGGTTTCGATCAAACGTCATTGAGAAAAAGGATGTATCGCCTAAGAACCGCAATTAGCCGCAGATAAATGTAATGTACAGTACCATGATTAGGATATCGCTATTGGCCGCCTGACTATTTATAATACAGCTTTACTCATAATAGGCATAGTTTACGACTTGGAATTGCGATGTCTCGCTTCTCACAATTGTATGGGACTAGCCACTTCCTACTTATAGTAGTAGTGATTATTTTCAATGAATGCATAATGGAGGCATTTAAATTGTACGTAAAACCAAGGCCTGAATGCTGTCCAATTATGTACGGTAATTTGTGTACAGTAATTCGCGTAATAGAATATGCAGCGGAATTTGGATTTACGTCGGAAATTCCAACTACCAATAGTTATTCACTCTGCGGCTACCCATATTGGTTACCTGTCTGCATGTGTTCGCCATATGTGAAACTGACCCACAAGTGCCCTTCTCACTTTGTGGCCACCATGAGTTTGGCACTGATGCGTTCCCACTCCTTCACCGTGCGTATGCATGTATCTACGTTTGTTTATCATGTCCCTGCGACAAAGTGGGATGTATGCAGTGGACTGCATACTTTTGTTGAGACACCTGAGGTGGCTCGGTCATGTGTGGCGTATGGATCCGACTCGGATACCGAAACAACTATTATACGGTCAAATGAGTATCGGGAAGCGGCATGTAGGGAAACTAGTTACTTTATCAGGACATGATCAAATTGAGTCTCTCACGTTCTAATCTTGATTGCAGGTCATAGGAATCGAAGGCGGTTGATCGGTGTGCATGGCGCGATCTAATCACGAAGGCAGTTGCTAAAGTGGGGGAGAAAGACCTCATACATGAACGGAAGAAGCGGCAGCTGCGGAAGCGGCAAGCACCGATGGGTTGTACTCCATCGACATCGGGCGCATGGTGCTGTAGCACATGCGGTCGCGAGTGCCTGAGTCAGGCAGGCCTAGTAAGCCATGAGCGAGGTCACTCGGGACCACTACCGAAGCGACGACGGGTCCTGCAGAGATCGTAGGCAAAACCGGCGCAGCGTTTGTAGATACGCTGCATTCGATTTACTAACCGCGTGCTTGCATGTTAAGTCTCTTTATTTCAGGTGGTGGGTTTTCAATTTTATCCTAATGCTTTTCTTTCTCATATAAATGTCCACCTGTACTCTAATCCATTAACTTGCACACCTCGCTTACGCCAATTGTAGTCAATTTCCATAACGTTTTGGTGTTTATGGCATTTAGTAAAATATACTTTCTGACTTCGTGAACTTATCTCGGATTCGTTTGTAAACAACTTATTTCATATGCTCATTAATTTAAGGTTTAGATCACCGTTTCCTTATGCATTGCTTGATTTGTTTTCTTTGTTATCTTTCTCTCAAGTGATTGGCTGTTGCTTGATATCCCTTGTGTGGCTGCGTTTGATATGTATATTGACAAGGTGCCTACCTGTCTATTACACACTACCTCGTCCATACTGGCTC